GACTGAATGCATTCAGATATTACAGCTGTCCAAAGTACACTGGAAGCATTGACAGAGTATTGTTATTCAGTCAGAGATATGCTGGGATTTTACTGGTGTAGTGTTCTGTTTATGGTGTAAGTGGAACAAGTTCATCTGTTCATATAGGAATGTATTTTTAGGAAATATATCAAGAATTTCACAAAAAGCCTTATTAAGTAAATTAATGTTGATTAATGTTAAATTTTATCTTTGTACAGTTATTATCACTACCCTGACATTTAAACCTTCAACCCAAAAGTGGTTGCTGTTGTGCGTTCCTATAGTCATGCAGAAGCTAGAACTTGCTTATTGTAGGTATACGGCAGATACTGCATAAAAGAGAATTTGTCTAGCCTGTAAACAAGGACCCAGATGGAAAAGCACTGAGAGGAAAGAAGGAAAGAATAAACATGTTTTTAAAAGACTTTAAATGCAATTTCATTTTCAGAAGTTTAAGCTCCGTTATATCTGCTTCGTTTTACCCTCTTCTTAAGGTGTTGGAATTAAGGTGTTGGGATTTAAAACGAAAAATGTAAAAGCTGAGATGGTGTCTTTTTTTCTCCTTCTAGTGAATAACTTAAAAATTCTGCAGATTAAAGATAAACTGGGATAGAAAGTAGAGAAGAACCAATTACGATACAGTGACTTACACACAGTGCAGTTATTGAAAAACAACTGTACTGTGATTATGCAGATCAGCCATTCACAACCAAAATGCAGGGATTTACATAACTAAGAAAAAATTCTTCACCGTTATGCCTCAGTAACCTTATAGGATTCTTGCACTTTAATTATATGACTCATTGTAATAAAATGATTCCATTTCCTTTATCTAGAGTAAAATGCATGGTAGAACATCAACCATTCTGAATGATCTATTTTTTTTCTGAAGTCTATACTCTCCTGACATGAAATGCAGCGTCTAAAGACATACAAAACAATGAAAAGCCGGAATTTCTGCCTGTATCAATCAAAATTTTAACAGGGTTTACATATTACATCACTACTGTTAGAAAGGTATACTAATATAAATGACATCTCTGCTTCTCTTGGAACTTCCATTTCCTCATTCTTTTAAATTCATCTGTTTTTGATAAAAGTAAGACTTCTGTGCTGCACAGACTGCAGGAGGAAACACCAGTGCTATTTTAACTGCACAGACCCTATTTTGGATTTTGCAAAGAGAAATCTTAATGGGGATCCTGACGTTTTTAGTTAGTTAAGTATGTCTAGCATATTTAGCATGTGACCTTTATATGTTCTACAAAACATCACTTTTAAAAGACGACTACTCTGTTCTAAGCCACACAGAAGGAATAATATTTATTCAGTTTGGTATAGCATGCTGTACCTCTATTTTTGTTACCATATAGTCCACTATTTGAATGGCTTTTTATGCAAATGTAACTTGATATTGTGGATTTTCTGCGCAAAGCTATAAGGAGGAGGCTGTATACAAATTAGGTCCTAACACATTTGGGTTTTTTCATCACTCTAACCAAGCTGATTACTGGTGAGTGTTTTATCAGTCTGGATACATTATATCATATTACACACCCACTAAATCATGACAGCTTATTTTCCATCTGCAGACATCTTAGGCTGAGACAACTGAGACAGCAATATTCCTTTTAATTCTTCACAGTTATGCCTGTGAAGAATAATTAATTCCTTTTAATTTCTTCTGTATCACATGTAGACAATAGAGCACTGAAAAATATCTCTCCCAGTAGCTCCTGAGCTTTCAAAGTCTTCCTTGTCATGTGGCGATGAATAGGACACCTTTGGAAATTACTAATGAAAAAATACATGAGGCAGAAAACATGCTTGTGTTCCATCTGAAAAGACTGGAGAACTTGCTCACTACAGCATTCCTTTGGCATGTGTAAGACTCAAGGTCAAGCCTCCAGTCTGCATTTACCACAGCAAAAGCTTGGTCCATGGTCTTCCACATGCCACCAGCATTCTTAGACCCAAGGATCTGTGCTATCCAAAGGGATGCTGTTCACCACCTCTCTGCTCTTTCCACTCTCACATGGCAAGAAATTCCATCTGGATCAGAAATTATTTCCTCTAAAAAAGATTTGGTTGGAACAAGCGTACATTCTGATTTTGTTTGAAGAGAGATTCCCCCCAAATTTGCAAAGAGCCGTGAGAGGGATTCTCTGGGAATGTCTGACAACTTTTCTACCATGATTAAAAGCCTGAGCTTTGTGGTAGGCTAACAGCACCTCACTGCTACCTCCCTACTGTAATAACATGAAAAAATAGTAAGGAAAGGCTATAATCTTCTGATACGGAAAGCGGGTTTCCCCTCCCTCCAGATATTCTGAAGACAGGCTAACCTCTGGCGACTCGAAAACTTTCATGATCTATTTGATTTAGTTTATAATAGACAGCTGTTTTTTGGTAACAAACATATTTAGACCTGTCTACTGTCGCCCATTCATGGAGGGCTGGTTATTGTTTTTATCAAAGGGAAAACAGAAGTTATTTGGGACATAAAATGATCCAGAATGCCAACAGCACTATTTCACATTTAACTGTTTCAAAAACATATGTCCCAACCCTTTGGCTCTTTGCAATATCGCGTTCATAGCCTCTAGAGGGAAGGCAGACTCCTCATCAGGAACCTGAGTGGGATTTGTGACCTCCCGGCTCATTGCTCCTTTCTGCCACAGAATTCCTGCATGACCTTAGGAAAAGGTCTTCATTTCTAAAATGAGGGCAACAATGTACCTTTACTTTACAGTAATAACTCAAGATGAACAGTACATGAACATTGAGATGTCCGATTTTTTGGTAAAGTTTATGGATAAATTATCACTAATTTATCACGGAATCTTGAGTACATAACTCAAGATGAACAGTACATTTCTAAAACAGTCCATGAAAAATAACACAGACAGCCTCGACAGCCTCGACCATATTTATTCCCATAAAATAGCTGCATATTATAAACAAAAGCTATGTTATAACTTGATGTTTTTCAGCAGTCCTTTGAACAGGACTAGTAGTCCTGTAGTCTCTATCTCAAATCTGGAATGGGAGACACAAGCAGAAATGGCTACTGTTGGGTAGCAGCTGAAACACTGTTGTTACTGAAATGAAAAATAAGAGGCATAAACTGCAAGAGGCAATCACAGCGCACAGCGAGGGTCTAAATTTTTAAACATTTGGGCCTTGTCTTCCAAAACAGTGATCTGGTGGAAACTTTAAGAGAAAGCAGTGGGCTTTCTGCCAAAAAAGGGAGGATTATTATAAGTAGGAGGATAAACTCATATAAGAAATAAAGATGAAAATGATCAAGCTACTCAATTAATCCTGCCTGGAGGCGTGACAGAAAGAAGACTGTTGTTTCGCTTGGGTTATTTGGAGGCATGGCAGGATTACCAAGGTTCTTCACAGTGCTCTAAAGACACAAATTCCTATTGCGTTTAACAAGATGTTCAAAAGAACTTCTCCAAGTGAAAAAAAGGAGAGCTGCCACATGTTCTATTCTCACTATTAGCATAACACATACATACCACATTTTATAATTACTAAAGGATATTTCAAAATAAATAGAGTTGCTCTGTGGCCCAGTACACTTTTCCGAGCAAATGCTTTCATTATGTAACAGTAGGTTCTTTTTTTTGCACAAATCAAAAAAAGGAAAGGTTTTACTTGGAAAGAGTCTCAAAACTGGACTTTGCACTTGTTTTCATCATTGTTTAAAAAGGATGCGGCAGTGAATTGAACATTCATCTCAATCTACAGACCTTTACCTAGACCTGCCAACCACAGAATTCCACCCAGTGCAATCTGTTTACACCTTGGTTATGTTAAAATCGTAGGTGAAAAATAAAAAGATATCTACACATAAGTGCCATCTACCTCATTTACATAGCACACTGAGCTATGAATTCAAGGCTAAAATGTTTCAAATGCTGACCATTTCTCCCTCTATATCTTGTCTTTTCTTTTCTCCTGTTCTTTTTTCTTCTAGTAGTTTTGTTTACCTCATTATACCTTCATGCAATTTCATTTGAATATGGTCTGCACTGGACTGTGCAGATTACCAAGCTAATGACATACAGACTTAACATCGTAACACCTCTACTCTTGCAAGTGAGAATTTTGAGTGACAGAGCAAAGCTGTTTGCTATCAATTTTGCAAAAACTGCATCTGCCAGATTGCCAAGATCCATTTCAGAGATAAAAAATCGGTTAATATTCTAATTTGTTACCTGTCATTATCAGTCATACAGCATTCTTTTATACAAATGATAACCCTTTAAAAATGAAAACTATTATATATAATACTTCCCTAAATATATTTTACACTTACTTATTCTTCTGAAGTAAAAATTATTATTATACTTTGTAGCACAGACCGAAAAGGACTTTATTGACTTTACAGAAATATACATCAGTACTTTCAAAGGATTCTGCATAGATACAGGAACTTGTGCTAACAAAGTTTCACAGCTGATCTAACAAACAGGATTACTGAGAGGGAAAAGTATGGCCCTATTAATGATATATTAGAGCTACTGCCTTGTTAAAAAGGCATTTTCCCACCTTTTCTACATTTTCTAGTCCCCAAAAATACACAGCTACTTTATTTTCTCAACATTTATGAGTTCTGGTCAAGTAATATGCCCACACATTGCATTTGTAATAACAGTTTATTTACTGGTCCGATGGCCACTGTAAAGCTGTGCCATTCCAGTTCTGATGATTTAGTGATAATTTATCCATAAACTTTACCAAAAAATCGGACATCTCAAGAATACAGTCAAATCACATCTGAGCTCGTCTCTCATTTTCTGCTACAACTAGTTCTAAGGACTTTATTAAACTAAGTTTATCTTCTGATTTTTCCATTTGGACTAGAAAACATTTAGTATGCTCTCTAGACAAATGACAAAGAAGAAAATTCCAGGTTAAATCTGCTATGCTGGCAGTAGCTTTTTAATCAATCAAATTTTACTTACGTGGAATTTTATTCAGTTCATTCATGAACTTCTCTTTTAACTTAGAAAATGCATCTTCTTTTCCTCCGCCTCCGCCAGGACTGGCTGGCTCAGTGACATTACTTGGAGGGGCTGCTGCTACTGTGGTTGCTGGCGGTGCTGCCAGGGCCTCATGATGACTTTCACTCACCATTTTAACCCTTGGTTTAGCTGTTGGAAAAAAAACAAACAAAACAAAACAAACACAAAAGATAATGTTTAAATCATTAAAATGGATCTCTCATCAATAAAATACTAAACAGGCAGCATATCACTTGGTGCTCATGCTTATTGGGTAAATATAACTGCATCAGCCTATTGCTTCATGTTCTTCATACAATATTTATTAGACCAGAGGGAAAAGTCTTTTGCAGGATTAGTTTCAGGCAGAATCATTGTATTGCTTAGAGTTCTTCTCCTCTGGAGCAGGATTTTAAACTGCTGAATTTCAAACCTCAAAATTCCTATAAAACTCTCATGTAGATTTACCTTTTGCTCTTCAATATTGAACGTACGAGTAAATTGCCTGATAACTGCTCTCTATGTGCAAATTTCACACTGTATTTACAGAATTATTTATCTATGAGTTACAGAAAAGTAGACCAATAGCCAAAGTTTCTATGCAAAATGAATGAAGTGATAAGAATATAATAAAAAAATTCAAACTCTCCTGTCAAACTAATAACCTGTTGTTTCCCATTTAAGCGAGTTGTATGTTAAACAGAAATTGATTTGCATCCATTTTTATCTTCACTTATTGAAAGCAATTTTCCTCCCAGTCACTTTGTGCGACATTGGCTACAGACAATATTCTGTTAAATTATTCACAGGTCTCATTGGTGTATTCGTGAAGCTATGACATCTGTAAGATATCTGAATGCAACCATATTGAAGAATCTGAAAGACTGTTACAAATATAATCCCACATGAGCATATTTTTCAGTGGGCATTTTGCAAAACCTTTACTTGAACTTTCAGTATAAAGCACTGAATTTTGGGCCAGTGGGGTGACGGTGGAGATGAGATGCACAATGCAATTTCAATATCACAAGAACGTCGACTGAAATGTTTACACGGGTTTTGAACACGTTGTTCAGGTTTTCTGCTGCATCCTAAATATCACTCATCTGAATAATCTTGCTATGTTTTTCTTCAGAAAACTGGAGGGAGAAAGGCTTTGAGAGATAACAAACATTCATTACTGCTCTGAGTATACAATTGCTCTCAGTGCCAAAAGGAATTTGGCCTTCGACCTGTCCAAGCTGAGAAATGTGAACATCATCATATGAAAAAAATGCAAAACATCAAAATTAAAAAGGGGCATAAGAGCATCTGGCTGTGTACAACACGATGAATCACGAGTTTTCTTGCCTTATGTGCCTGTTTTCATGGATGTTGCTGAGAGCGCTCAAATCACTAAGTTAAAAAGAGAACTGGCTTTTCGTCCTTCAACTTTACTTCCATAAGCCTGCAGTCAGGAAGACCTATTGGCACATACCCGACTGTAAGCAGAATTAACCTTCTGAAATCACCCTTACCATTCTTGTCATTAAACAGGGTCACGTGCATAAGTGTATTCTGGAATAGGCGCCATCCTCTAATACTATCAACCTATGACAAAGATTTTTGCCAAATAGGGGACTGGCCTTGCTCTGAAGAAGCAATTTAGTGGCTATTTTGTAGCAATTTTTTGATGTGGCACTGAAGGAAGCAGTATTCCCTGCCTGCCCCTTGCTGCTGCCTTTGCCCTCACAGTCTCAAGCCTAATATAAAATCATGCTGATGTTGACACATACTATGTATGTGCTATAGTTCCATAAATATTTCATACGCATGCAATCTTATCTAGTTGCCTGTAACAACATGGGAGCAGTTCACTATCTAAAGCAGACTGAAGTTGATGGAAAGATTCCAGTTAATATCCACGAGCTTTGGCTCAGGTCCGACGTCTGCTAAGATTTCCCCACTTGCTTCCCACAATAACAATAGGGAAAACATGTAGCGCATAATTTGTGTACTATGAAATATTGTGCCAGCTATTTCAGATTAGAAGACTTTTTCCATATGCTCTGATGAATGCCAAATACTATGAAGCAAAACATGCACAGCCATCAAGTGTAAACACTAGTGTAGTTTTATATCATAGTATTTTGTCAATGAATGTCAGTTAAATCAGAAGAAAAGTTGTATGATATATCATAATTAAATCAAAATTAAATTGCTTAATTATAATATATTGCTTCATTATTTCAGGCCTGGCAGTTGACTATTTTGTTTTGTAATGGAAGACACAATTTGCAGTGATGACTTTCAGCTAATTAAAAATTAAAGCAAATGTTGTAATTTATTTGCTTCCAGTTTTGGAGCTATATTTTGAAAATATATTAGAAGAACAAATTTGAAGTGCTACACTCTCATTTATTTAAAAGAAAGAAAAAATAACAGGAACAACCCCCAGCAGATTCCTAGTGCAGTTAGAGGTCACTATATTTAATGAGGCATGCATAAATGCTTTGAGACTTGCTACAGAGCCTTCAACCTTTACACGCCAATGACACTGTCCCGGTATTTTAAATAGGTGTGAAGGGACTGAAAAAAAATCTTGCCTCAGAAAAAGCTTTCTGCAGTAAAGAAGTTTCTGAAGAGCACATGCCCACTCCCTCACGGAGATAACATCTAATGGCTTCTATTATTTCAGTACTGCAGTATTCCACAATAATGGCATAAGCGCTGTGGCATTATCAGAGACTGTAGAGTACTGGATAATTACATTTAAATTGCCCTCTCATAAAAAAAAGGGTTACTCGAATTCTGCGGTGCGCGGCAGGTAAAGATCTACAAAATACTAGCAGATTATCTGCCATTTATGAAATGACATTTGCAAGTATAAGCATAAAACCTTACATGTAGGTTAAAATGAAATGGCATAGAATTCAATTATGATTTCCATTTCCATTGTTCATTACAATGATTATACTAGTAAGTAGGAAATATTACATGTTGCATGTGCATTTGTAGTCATAAATAAAGAGTAAAATTTAATTTATGTGCTTCTGTAAAAAGCAGCAGAGACTATATTCCGTAAGCATACTGATTATAAAAGAGATGGAAAACAAAACACTGAACACATATATGGAATGTTTAGAAGAAACATTTGTAATTTCTATACAAGAATAGGCAAGTGCTGACTAAAAATCTGGAGATGATGATCTGAAGGTGGGCAGGGATTTAGAACCCTGCTCTTCCCTGTGCAAGAAAAATTCTGACAAAAATAAACCTCAGCTTAAACTTCTACAGAATTTCCTCTGAAAAGGAAGCAAGGTCTTCCTTCCTCTTTCACACTAGCACAGTGCTGACAAGTTTCAGCATCTGAATAATATGCAAATGCACTGTGGAGAGTCACCAGAAGCAAGAGATTTCCTTACGGAGATACAAAGTATCAGCTGACTGCCTTAATATTCTAATATGAATCCTGACGGTAAGAGTCCTGTTGGAACCCACCTCTCATGAGAGGAGTAGAAAAGAGGAGAAGGACTTCAGATATGGTTGATTACACAGCATGGAGTAGCCTCTGGAAGTTAGAGCAGAAGGAATGTGTTCCAGGAATGTGTCCCAAACATTCAGGGCATAGCCAAGCCAGTGTGTGGACCACACTGGGGACAGTAAGCCCATAAGGAATTTTTACATGTTCTAAATTGTTTTTGAAAAATAAACCGAACAACATGATAAAATTCATGAGAGAGATGTGGAACGTTCTAAGTGAATCGCACAAAAGCAGAATCTTCAGGTTTTGGTATGAAGGATAGAGTGGTCTATCATGTTCTGGCAAACCCTGGGGAGATTTATTACAGAATTTTAAAAAGCCAAAAGGATAGCAGAGTGAGTGTTTATGGTTTCTCTGTGGTTAAATTACAGTCGGTCTGCGAATGATTTAGTGGATTCTTAACCCCATTGACAGGAAATTGGTGCCATCCCTACCAAATGGTGTTTTCCAGACAATTTAATTTTGCTTGCTCCTATTTTCACCTGAATGCAAACTAGGCGGAGGGAAGAGACAGCGAACAGGTCAGACCTCCCATGCTGACCAAATCATTCCCTCATAATGAGTGATTTACTGGAGACTGTCCTTTTACCTTGCGGCCTCTCAAATTTTTCTACCATACTAAAAATTAAAATTAAATTATTGAAAGCTTACAAATACAGTGTTTCTATGGGTAATTGTAGTTGTTTTCAGAAGTGATTGCTACCATTCTTTCAATGAAGAATGCTGTAACTCTTGGAAAGCTTGTCATTGTACCTCACTAAGCATAAGAAATTGTACATTTACATCTAGGTTCTTAAATGATATTTCCTGTACAGCTTATTCAGCATCCCAAATATGTTCACCTCCACGGTTATATTCAGCTTGGACTCCAGTCACAACACTTATCCAAGAAAAAAAATATTTCCTATGTACATATCATATGAGTTCCTCTGTCATTTTTGTTTACAGTTGCTGTGCCCTGAGAGAGAAAGGAACTATTAGCTTTCAGCGACAATAAGTCCGGGGTAAGTATGCACAGTTACCAGAGAAAGGTTTCATACCACATTGAAAATTTACCCTATTCCATTAGAATGTTTTTAATGAAATGAATTCATCATCAAGAAGAAGGGAACATTACCAGAATGTCTAAAGATATCTACAATAAACGATCTCTTCCTAGATTTAAGTATTCTGTGGTGTTAATAATACATTTTTAACTCATTCATCTTCCCATTAATGAAATATGCTATCTTTCTAGCTTTAGTAACGGACATTTATTTTAAAAGACAAGCTCAGAGAAGAGCCTTTCTTGGCTTTTCATAAAGATAGGTTTGTAACTACATTTTCAGAAGAAAGGAAGGTCATGCTAAAGATCTGTGCTGCCACAGATGCACAAGAAATGTTTCAGGACCCACAGAATCATGTTTCGATGCCTCTTCCAGTGGAGAAGCGACCTTTCTTCTGCTGCCATATATAAACCATCAACTCAGTTGACACTTTATAGAGCCCAGCTGTACATAAGTCCTTTAAAACTGCTTTCCGATGCTTGCTGGTAATACCACATCAGTAGTTTCATTGCTTTGATTGTGAAAACAATGCACAAACATAAAACTAACAAACACCTCCAATTTCAATCTAACCAGCTACA